CTGCTTAAAGAATTGAGGAGGTATAGACTGTGGCTTTATGGGTAGTAGATTCTCCATGCCTAACTCTTGCTTCATTCTGCAGCCTTTGCTGCTCTGCTCGCTCATCTTGGCTTGTACTCATAATGCTCTCAAAAGGCCAAGCTTCCCAGACTTCAGCCAGCTTGCCCCTCCCATGAACTGCTGCTAGTGGACCCCCACTGGCTTGTCCCAGCCTCCCCACACCTGAGCCTGCCTGTGGGGGCAGCCCTGACAAGGTTTGGCTGTGACCCAAAAGGGCTAATTCTGACAACCAACCGCTTGTTTTGAATAATTTAATCTGCTCGAGACTAGCAGCTGGAATGGAAGGTATCTTGAGACTTCCAGTTGCACTCTAACAATATGTGAATAAATCTTCCCAGTAGAGCTGGATAGAGAAATGTCCTAAACTTAAACACAAACAAAGAAAATATGACTGGTGGTAAAGTAATTTAAACCCAGTCCAGAATCATGAGCAGCAGCAGACCGATTTAGAGCTTTCCAAACTGCAGGCTTTGCTGTGTCACGGATGTGTGATAAATTAAGGGAGGGGGGGGACCTGCCGGGGGAGTGAGATGAGCATCTTTATTTTAGTGTAACTGAGAGCAGATTATCCCTCACCTCTGAGATTTAAATTTAAAAAAAAAAAAAAAAAAAAAAAAGCTGAGGAAAGCAATTAAAAAATTAAAACAGTTTAATAAGGGTTTGAGACGATTTTGCTGCAAGCAATAATACAGCTTGGCCAGGGGAAAGCAGGAAGAATGCTTCAATCCTATTTAGAACATCTGAAGCCAGAGCTGCATGCGGCCTGAATGAACGCTGGTCATTTGTATTTGGATAATTCACCGGTTGCCACCAAGAAATTACCCTAGGGGATGCTTTCTGGGAAGGATATGGGGGGAGGGGAGCAAAGGACAGGCTGTGTCCTTTCGCCTTATTGTTTGGAGCCTGGACTCATTTGCATAGCCCTTCGAGGATGAAGTCTCTTCTGCCATTTGGTAGATTGCCATCAAATTTCAAGTGACAAGATGCGAGGTAGATTTATGCACCGTGAAGCAGATACGGCGGGGGTTTGGTGTATTTGTGTTTCATTTCCAGTTAAACAATACACAGGGGGCTGTCACACTAACAAGGTTTATAATGATTGACTTGTTCAGCCCTATCGAGACCTTTACTTCGATAGAGCAGAAGCCTCAATAGACAGGAAATTTATATTTGAACAGATGTCTGTCTAGAAGGGTGGTACCATATTTTCTCCTGACTTGTTTCAGAGTGCAATTCCCCCACCCCCAACCCCCAAGCACACAGCACAGCTACATTATGGATCATTTGCAGGATTTCTGGATCACTAGCATCTTATTCTTAGGAAATAGGATCCCTAAAAATGTGTACTTAAGAACTCTGAAAGACTTAGCAGGCATAATTCAACATTTGGCTGTGCTCGTTTTTGTTTTTGTTTTTTAATAATTCGTGATTTTGAAAATGCAAGCACCATATGAGAACAAAAAGAAAGCCTTTTCATCTTTGTGATGTGCAACAGATTAATTCCCTGAGACTCGATTTTCTCACCTATGAAGTAGAAATAGCAAAATCCCCTTCAGAGATTGTTGTGAGAATTAAAGGAGAAAAAGTCTATGAAAGCCTAGCACAGATGATATAAGCAACCCTCCGCACACACCTGATCTCACCTTTGACAGATGAATCCAGATTGTCTGTGGCAGAATTAAGAAGAGTCATGGACAACGAGGGTTGGGGCGGGGGGAGGGGAGGGCTTATCTAGGGAGGGGTTTGGGATGGGAATGGGGGAATAAGGACAATTATGTGAGACCATAATCAATCAATCAATAAATAAATAAATAACAATGTAAAAAAAAGAATATAAATAAAATTGTATACCCAAAGAAAAAAAAGAAGAAGAAGAGTCAAGATATTTAGGAACAGGCATTTAAAAAATGCTCTCCCAGAACATGACATATCCAGTGAGATAGGTAGATATGGCAAATGTGACCACTGCCAGGGACTGGGTTCCTGAGTAGATACATGAAACTTATTAAAGAATACTGACATATGAAACAGTGAAGGGAAAGTTAAAGAGAGATTTCTTCCTTTGGATTTAAAAATACTAGGTACTTGTTGAATGAAAAAATAATGAATGAACAAACACATCCTGACATAATCTCCTTTAATTGATACAGGGTTTCTTATGAGTCATTTGTTGATTCAGGATATATTATTAGGCCCGTACCATGTGCCAGGTGCTGATGATTCTGGTGGGAAAAGAGAATAGTCTTTGCCTTCCTAGAATTCACGGGCCAGCAGGGAGACAGATAAATAATCACATAACTAAAGTGTGATAAGTGCTATGATGGAAAAGTACAAAATGTTATAAGAGAGTAGTTAAACCATAGGAACCTAATTTCTGAGACTGAGGTGTGTGACGGAATTCTCCAAAGCACAAAATAAACTGATGAACAAAATAGAGCAAGAGGCATGGAAACATGGGACAGACTAATAGCTATCAGAGGGTCACTTATATCAGGTTGGGGGGCACTGGATGAAAGAGAGTAAAAAGATTAGCCAAAAAACATGAATGCATAACCCAGAGACACAGACAACAGGAAGGTGATGGCCAGAGGGAAAGAGGAACGAGGCTTGGGTGGAGGTGGGCAAAGGGGGCGGAAATGGGGACATCTATAATAGAGTCAACAATAAAAATAAAGTTTTTTAAAAAATAGTAGGGGCCCTGGCTTGTTTAGCTCAGTGGATAGAGCATCAGCCTGCAAACAGAAGGGTCCCGGGTTCAATTCTGATCAGGAGACACATTCCTGGGTTGTGATCTCGATCCCCAGTGAGGGTATACAGGAGGCAGCCGATCAGTATTCTCTCTCATCATTGATGTTTCTGTCTCTCCCTCTTCCTTCCTCTCTGAAATCAATAAAAATACATTTTTTTAAAAAGAGTTCCAGGCATAGGAAACAGCATGTGGGAAGTATATGCGACAAGAGAGGGCTCGAGGCATTCTGAGAACCGGAAAAGACCTCAATAGCTGGAATGTCATAAGCAAATGGAAGAGTGGCAAACGTTGGCAGGAACCAAACTGGGCAGAATCTCACTGGCTGTGTTATTTACTTCATAGTTCATCCTAAATGCAATGGGAAACATTGACTTGATCAAATCTTTGCTTCTAAAAAATCATTTTAATGACTGTATATTAAATAAATCAGAAAAGTAAAAAAGGCTTGAGGATACTTTTAAAAAGCTATTGCAATAATCCTTACAAGAGATGATGCTCCTTACCCCAGGATGTGGGGATGGATTTGATATGTATTTTTAAAGTACAATTTACAAACTTTCAATCCAATTAGCTGTGGCCTGGACAATAGACTATATATTGGTACTATCCACTAAATGGAATATACCAGAAGAAGAGCAGATTGGGAGGAAAGAGCAGTGGGAAAAGATCAAGACTTTAATTTTGGTTGGTTCAAGTGGATGTGTATATAATACAGTTACATATAAATGCCTAGAGCTCAGGAGAAGTCAGAGATGAAGCTATAAATTGGGAAGTCATATGCATATACAAATGGTTATTAAGTCACAGGAGTGGTTGAGATTGCCCACAGAAAATGAGGAGAAGAGGATTCAGCATTTCAAGGTCAGTCAAGAGATTAGGAGGGATAAGCCATGAGGTGGGTGGAAACCAAGAGAGGCTGGGTGCCAGTGATGTCAAGAGAAGCAAGCATTTCAATAAAGGAATGTTGCATGTTGCTGTGAATAATGTAAAATGGGAACTAAACTGAGTCCCTTGGATTTAATGCAAGTAACATTAGGAAGTCCTAATACAGTGAAAATGTGAAGTCAGAAGCCAGGCTGCAGTGGGTTGAAAGACAGATTTGAGGAAATGCACAGGGCATGATTCTACAGGGCTTAAGGCTGCATAAGTACACTAATGCACGAGAGAGCAGGGTCAAAGGGTGGTAGTTATTGTTATTGCTCATCATCACCATATTTGTTGTTGTTGCTGTCATTCAGTTATTTCTGGTGGGAATACTACAGCATGTCTTAATGCTGAACAAATAGATTGAGATAGATGGAAAAGGCCGGAAGGAATGGGATTCAAACCACATATGGAGAAAATAGCCTTGGATAAGAGGAGGGACATGTCCTCCACCATAACTTGTGAGAAGAGAGTGCAGACATAGTCTGTGGTATGGATCATATGAGGCAAGGTCATCTTCTGAGACTGAGGGACAGTGTGGAGTTTTAAAGAGAATAGAAAAGGTATGAAATAGTCCTTGAAGAAAGTAGAAGTGATTTTACTAGACAAAGGAATAATAGATTTGGCATGCAGTGGGAAGAAACCAATTATGTTTGGTAATGGTGAATTCATAGTGTTTTCATCTACCAAGTTGTATGATATTTTCCAACAAAGCCAAGTCATTCAGGAGTGGGCCTAGAGAAGGATGATGGCTGTATTTATCCAGAGCTGGAGTGTTGTCAGGTGGGCAGGACAGAAAAAGAAAGAAACATGATGCTATTTGCAACAAGTGAATGGTGATAATGAAGACTAAGCTGGATAAAAGGAAAGTGAATACAAGAGGTATTGCTGGGGAGAGAGAAACAAAAAGGCCCACATTCAGGAGGAGCAGAAAGGACAGGAACTAGTTAGCAGAGAAGATATAAAAAGTGGTTCTCAGGGAGGGGTGGGGTGGGGTTTAGATTTTGTGCAGATGTGGAAGTCTTTGGTGACATCTTTCAGAATGTAGGAATGGGAGAGGACTGCTGAAAGTTTGAAAGTTTGGAATATTGGATTAATTTAACTGTAGATATTTAAGCTGTGTAGGATGAAGATGGAAGTTGAAATGGACAGAAAGATTGACAGACATGATTCTTCAGTAAAAAAGAGTAGTAAATACCAAAAGGATTTACTCAACAAAGAGTAAGTAAATGACAACAGAGATGAAGGGGAGAAACCATTTATATAGCTGAATGGTTTGAGCCTCAAAGAACCAGGAGTTTCTCTAAAAGGAGAAGGGAGGTATAGTCTAAAAGTGTCACTAGGGAGGAAGGAGACCATGTACCCCACTGCCCAACATAAGCATAAATCAAATATGAGAAAATGGCCTCTACTCAGGAGCATCTCATAGAATATGCAAAAATGGAAACTAAAAATGTTTTCAGTGCCAACCCTGTGCTAAGCATATTTTATACATTGCTTTACCAAAAGCATTCGGTATTATTATTCCCATTCTACAGATTAGGAAACTGAAGCTGAGAGAATTAAAGTAACTTGCATTAGTCATATATATGATAAATGGAAAAACTAAAGCCATAAACTGAAGGAAAAATTACAGTTACTGAAATGTTCTTGAGGTCTTGTTACACTGACAGAATGTAATGCTTCCACACGTGGTCAGCCACAGGAGTCTCCATTTCTCAGGAAGACGACTATGATTCCAATACTTACCTACTTCACTTATTCAATCAGCTATCATTTCATTCCTTTTCAACTAATAAATGCTAGAAACCACCAAGGTGTTCCATGATTGTGACTTCCGTCACAGTCTGCCAACATATCAAGGTCTCCTTGATTGATGCTAATCTTAGAATGGCAGAAGAGCCCGAAGCTTCTGCCTATGCATCAGAGGCAGTGAAATTAAGCTGATGAGTCCATGCATACTTAGAATTAGACCTGACGTTGGCCAGTGTGTGGACATAGGTAAGGCCAAACACCGCTCCAAATTAATCCACTATCATCCTGCAGTGTATATGCAAAGCATGACAACCACTCCATGGCAATTTGCGTCAGAAGTGAAAGGACTCTAGGGCCAATCTCCACCCTTCTAGAAGACTGCAGGCCACAGACTCAAAAATCCTTCTTTTCTCTTTATTTCAGGATTTCAAGAGGGAGGAAGGAGCTTCTTGTGGCAGTGTCCCAGAGTTTGTCAATCCTTCTCTGCATCTGACTGCTTCCCCTATTGTTCTGATGAGTTACAGGTGTGTTCTTTCCTAAAGGCTGCAGGCAGGGTGGTAGTCTGATGCTGGGCCAAAGAGAGAGGCTAAGAAAATTCCAAGGGAATGGCTGGAGCAAGAAGACCAAGTGGTGACTTTCCAGCAGCCACCACGTTGGTTCTTCTTACGTTGGTCTGTTCAGACCCTCCTAAGGGAGATAAATATAAGAACACTGTGATCTACTTTCTAACTTCTAATTAAATCTTCTGAGCTCAGTACTATCACCAGGTAATAATACTCAATGCTCACGACATGCCAGACACCATACTGAGTTCTTTAAATGCTTATCTGTACTATAGAATTCTTACTAAAGTTTTACCAGTAATTCTTACTAAAGTTTTACCATTTCACTACTATCCCCATTTTATACATAAGGAAACGGAGGCAGAGAGATACTGTTAATAAGTGGAAGTGGGATGCAAACCACACCTCTTGGGCTCCACAGCCCTACTGTTTGACTGTTCTGCAATGGTTCTTTCTAGAAGAAAAAAAAAAAACTGCACTGTTTAGATGCAATTTGGCAGTAGAAGTCCTGTTTTCCAAGGGTCAGAGTGATTCCTATTCCTTTCCATTCATATCTCTCATCTACAACTCAATCAACAGAGGAGACAGAAAGATAGCAAGTCTGCCAAGAACATTAACAGGAATGTCAGAAATTAGGTTGTACACTACACCAGAAACATGAGAGTTAATGCCCTTTGGGTGGCTTTCTTTCCAGAATATCCCACATGCTACTGCTCCAGCCTCTTTGTGAACCTGACCATGGAACATAGTGAGAGGCTGAAGTCCATGGTGCCGGCCCCCAAAGAGAAAGCGTTCCTCCTTTTCCCACTGTCTTCCCACCTAGTGTCAGGAGCGTGAAAAGGCGGTGAGTCTGTTTTCTGTCCGTAATCACGACTGCAGACTCCCTTGGGGGCTGTGAGAATCAGATCTCAGGCAGTAAAAGGAGGTGGGTGTCATCGCTTCAACAATGTGAGAGAAAGAAAAACATCTGCAAGAGCCTGGGGAGCAGACTGTAAGAGAACATGAAACGCTCTTGGCTCCAGTCGCATATACAAATTATGAACCAGTTGGGATTCGTGGGGAATTTTTTGTGGTCCAACTTTTCAGCGGAATGCTTTGCTCAGCCTGAGGAAGTGTGAAGAACTGGCAGCTGACTTACAATGGCTTGTTTTGAATGTGAGTCTGGGCTCATCCCAGTTTACATTTCCAGGGCCCTCTGACACCCAGCTAACTCAGCAACTGCCAACACAAGGCTCTCAGAAAGAAATCTGTCACCGGAGGCTTCACACTCAAATAAGCCATATTTTGGTTTCCAAATCAAAATCCTGAATAGTGTGCTCCTCTCTAAACACCTACAAAGCACTTCAAAAAACCACTGGAACCAGCTGCAGCTATCTTCCCTTCCTGGACTCCTAGAAGTACCCTGGACACTCAGTGAGGGCACCCAGTCCTGGGAGTCAGGAAATCTGTCACCAGCATTCCCAAGACCATCTCATTACCCTTCCTCAGTAACACAGCAAAGGTAGGAAGATGAGTAAACCGGGCACAGACTTCGTGGCAGACTTGTCCATATAGAAGATGCAAGTTAACAGAGCAAAGATCCAAGGCACTTCACAGAATAGACGTGGGCCTGTTCTGCACCAGGAGCTGTATTTCTCCAAGATGACTAAGATATTGGCTCATCCTCCAGAATTGACAGTCTACAGGGGATGTGCCTCATCTCATGCACTTCAAATCCAGACATTTGTCCACTTTTTTAAAAATAAATTTTATTGATTTTTTTTACAGAGGAAGGGAGAGGGACAGAGAGAAACATTGATGAGCGAGAAACATTGATCAGCTACCTCCTGCAGACCTCCTAATGGATGTGCCTGCAACCAAGGTACATGCCCTTAGCGGGAATCAAACCTTCAGTCCGTGGGCCGACGATCTATCCACTGAACCAAACCAGTTAGGGCTATTTGTCCACATTTTAAAAACGCTTTAACTACTCCAAAATATTTATTGTCTGTATTATTCATTTGGGACATAGCACAGACTATCTGGAATTATATTTATCTTCTATAGGTCATATTTCTTAACTGGAGTTTAAGCTACTTGAAGGCAAAGGCTATGTATCATGGACCCTTTTGTTTCCCTGTGTTGAGCACTCTATCCTGCAGTTAAATGTCTGGCTCAATAGACGTGTGGTGGTGGTGGTGGTGGTGACTGGTGGTGGTGGAAGTGAGAGTGAGAGTGATTGGTACTAAGTAAGGAAGCAAAAGGGTCAGAGATGATTTGTCCCCTCAATACCAACAAAAAGAAGTGTTTATAGAAACATATATGATTTAAACTCATTTAAGAAAAGTACTACAAATAGTAACCTATAATTCAGAGTCCAGGCCCTTGAGCCAGACTACCTACATTTAAAAACCATTCCAGGAGGGATCCAAGATGGCTGCACAGGTAAACACCTAACCTCAGCCACACACAACATTTCAATAAAATACAACTAAAATATAAAATGGACATTACCCAGAACTACAGGAAAGTCGACTGACTGGAAATTCTACAACGAGAAGCAAAGTGAAAACCAGAAGGAAGAGTGGAGGGGAGAGGACGGAGCCAGAGAGGAGGAGCGGCTGAGTGTCTGGCTGGCATTCCCTAGCGGGAAGGAGATAAAAGCTCCGGATTGTTCTGAACCCCAGACCTGACAGCGCTGAACCCCAGTTCTAGGCCAGACCCTGGGGACTCAAACTCAAACAGAGGGAGCCTGGGCTGTGAGGCGGAATCTGAGGAGAGCGGCAAAAGGCAGAGCCCCGGAGTCGTGCACATTGCGTGCAGAGGACGGACTGTTGACTCTGCTGCCAGATTGCCCTACCGGGAAGGAGATAAAAGCTCCAGACTGTGCTGAGCCCCAGTTCTGACTGCTCTAAACCCCAGTTCTAGGCCAGACCCCGGGGACCCAGGCTCATATAGAGGGAAACTGGGCTGTAAGGCAGAAACCCGGGGGAGCGGCGAAAGGCAGAGCCCCCGAAGGTATGCACATTGCCTGCAGAGAAGGGACGGTTGGCTGTGCCACGGGATTGCCCTGGCGGGAAGGAGACAAAAGCTCCAGACTGCTCTGAACCCCACTTCCAATCCCACTTCCAACTAAACTGAACCCCAGTTCCGGGCTCATTGCGGGAGAGACTAGAATGTTTGGTAGCAGGTGAAACTCGAGGGCACCTCACTCTAAGAGGTGCTTGCAGCGAGTACTGAAGGACCCTGAGGAACACTGAGACTCAGGAGCCGCATAGGGGGTGGCTGACGGAAGCCAAGGCTGTAGGATCCACCCTGAAACTCCGCCCCATCCAGGCAGAACACAGAGACTTTTAAGGCTATGCGAAAATGCTGAGACAAGGAAATAGATCACAAACAAAAGAAATGGAGGACAAAAAGTGACTGGATATAGAGTTCAAAACCACACTTATAAGGTTGTTCAAGAATCTCTTAGAAATAGCCAGTAAAATAAACGAGACCTATGAGGATATGAAAAGGGATCAACTAGAAATAATAAGGGATCAACAAGAAATAAAAAATACATTGTCTGAAATAAAAAATATACAGAGTCCTAAAAACAGAATGGAAGATCACAAGAATCAAGTCAAAGATTTGAAACATAAAGAGCCAGAAGACACTCCTCCACAGAAGCAAGAAGGCAAGAGAATCCAAAAAGTTGAAGATAATGTAAGAAAACTCTGGAACAACTTCAAGCAAACCAACATCAGAATTATGGGGGTCCCAGAAGATGACAGAAAGCAAGATATCGAAAACATACTGAAAGAAATAGTAACAGAAAACTTCCCCCACCTGGTGAAAGAATTAGACTTACAAGTCCAGGAAGTGCACAGAATTCCAAACAAAAGGAATCCAAAGAAGACCACAACAAGACAAATCATAATTAAAATTCCAAGAGCAAAAGACAAAGAGAGAATATTAAAAGCAGCAAGAGCAAA